TTCTATGCATATTCTTCCATTTTTACAAAAAGTTCTTGATTTTACACGAATTTGGTACACAGCAGCGTATTCCGCAGGCTTTTCTGAAGAAGATACCACCCAGAAACAATATTAGGATGATCTTCAATGTTGACAGAATGGTAAAATATATTTTACTTTTCGCGAAGTACTTCGTTTCAGCCAAAAATACAAGGAAAATAAAAATATCTTGACATAGAAATTTATCCTATGAAAGTTCGTATGCAGTTATAATTTATAAAAATGTATAAATTAACAAATTTATTACTGTAACAAATTGTTCACAACATACATTTACAGTAAAATTGAAAAAATTCATAAATTATTGGATATTAGTTGAACTTACATATGTTAAAATGTACCTAGATTTATTATACTTATTGTTAATAATATTAATATTGTTAATAACAAATTGTTCGCAATGTAAATTTATGATACAAGTAGAAAAAATAATAAATTATTAGTTATTACTTGAACTGATGACGAATTTATGTTAAAATGTAGCAGTAATTTACAAAAAGTTTATAAATTATTACACCTATTGTTAATAACAAATTAATATTGCTAATAACAAATTGTTTACAGCATAAATTTATAATAAAAGTGAAAAATTAATAAATTATTGGCTATGAGAGCGGAAAATTAATAATTAATAAAATCGTCGAAGTTCGCAAATTTCCGATAGGGGTGGGGGGCTCGGCCGATCGGAGGCTATATAAAGGGCGACGCGACGCAGCAGAACTCATTTGTCAGTTTGACCTCGCGAGTGTAACATCTAAATTTTTCCGTGTGCGCGAGGGGTAGGGGGTCCGAAGTGAGGTGGGGTTGGCTGCCCCACCCACGCCCCCCCCCTTAAACCATTTAATAATTTCTTTTTGTTTTCAGGTATTAATAATTATTTTTTTTGTTTTCAGGAATTAATTATTTTATTTTTTTTTTCAGGCTTTAATAATTTTTTCTTTTTTCAGATATTTTTTGGTTCTCGTTTATTTTTATTTGAGCATTCGAATATTTCGTATGATATTCGAATGTTCTCGTCGTAGGTTTATCTATGTCTCATCGTTGGGTTGTTTATGTATCATAAGAGGTTGGGGTGGTTCTCTCCATCCACACCCCACCTCTTAAATAATTTAATAATCTTTTTTCAGGTTTCAATTATTTTTCCCTTTTCAGATTTCCTTTTTTGGTTCCAATTTATATCTATTTAAGCATTCGAATATTTCGTATAATATTCGAATGCTTCGTCGATGGTTTCTTTATGTCTCATCGTTGGGATGCTTGTATCTCATCGTTAGGTTATTCATGTTTCATCGTTGGGTTGTCAATTCTATTTGATTCATCTTTGTAATTTATATCTGTTTCATATTTGTATTCGTATTTATGTTTTACTAATCTGTTACTAATCCATATCTTTTCAGCTTTTCAGGTTTTTCAAAACATCATTGTATGTGTGCGTTTAGACTTAAATAGTTATAAGTGGTC